TCTCAGACACACTGTTGCTATGATTCCCCTCATCAGCTGCTGATATTACTAGTCTATACTGATCTATGTTACTGGTGTCATTCTAATCCAATGTTGTTCCACCCACCACTCATAGGCTCACATGCAGGCTCCTTATGTTATATTGCGTGTATTGATGGATTCTGATACTCCTGTATTTAATATTGAGAGTGTTACTGGCTCTGATGGTAAGCCTGACCTCTTGATCAGGTTTGATAGGAATAAACTGGAGACCATTGCTAAACCTGTCATTGGAGAATTCTTGAATAAACTGTAGGTATGTAGTTTAGGCATTTGGTGCATGATTATTCCTTTAATTGTCTGTTTATTTTTTGTACTTTGTACCATTATTTCTACTAGATTATATGCTACTAGAGAGTGCATTCAACCATAAGCAACTAGCTTATATCTACATGCATGTATGTACCCAGTACATAGGTATAGCTAGTTTCTGTTTATGTTCTATTCCCATTTGTAATTTGTACATGTTTATTGTCATGACTCAATACTGTTATGATAAATAGATGTTCCTTTTTCTAGATATACAAGTCTACAGCAGATGTTAGCTCAGGACAGTTATAATAAATATTCAACTGTTACTGATGATCATTTGATGTTAAGAGATACTGTAATGGCTAGGAAGATGCCTAGAAGGTTATTTGTACAGCCACACACTTCAACTGATACTGGTAAGCAGGGGATGGGTATATTCAATCATTAATGAACCTGCCTAACCAATGGGTTGGTTTATTTGTTTATTTGCATAGTGTATGCCATTGTTACATAGAGTTTGGTGGCTAGGCACAATTGCTTCACTAACTGTATTCCTTTCATTAGATGGTTCTGTTGTTCTTAATGAGTTTGATAGTTCATTTGAAGGAATCATTTCCTCATTTCTAGCAAGATATCCTAACAATGATACTGAACTGGAGTCTCTTTGGAGAAATGACCAGCATTATTGGAAACAAAAATAAACAATACATTGTACATTTAATACAAAATTAAAGAACTTGTATGTGCATGTATTTGATTCATCGAGTGTTCGTACATTGTTTGTTGCATGACATTGTTGCTTTTCAGTGTTATAAATTCTGAGGCTACAAAGATGCAGGGAAGTGATGTGAGAGTTGGCTTTTCCAGTGATCAATTGGTTAGATAACACAGTT